TGCCATAGAAAAGGTGAGATAGTACTATACCCTTAGGAAAGAATTGTTTCTCCATGAAAAGTGAAAAACATTAATAATTTTATTATGCACAATATTGATTGGAAACGTTCAAAGTTAATATTATGTGGTCATTAAAAAATATTGATTTTCAATATATTTTACATAGAACTAATAATAACGTGAATTTAGTAACATTTAGATAAAAATCGAAAACCTTATAGTGCCGAAAACCTAGCTAACTCCAACAAAAATCTCAATAATTACGGGTTAATAAAATGAAGTAAGCGAAATTATAACTTCCAGTGTGGTGATTTTAGTTGATTGTGAAACGTTCTTAGACAAAGGTTTTTTGTTAAGTTGCCAAAAGCAGGCCAGTCCGTCCCTCTAGCGTGCATTCTCGATCACAGTAGTAAACGACTTCCCCCTTCTAACTTTGGTTTTGCGGTTGTAATAAACTACCGGGTTTAACTGGAGTTTACTATGTAAATAAAGTTAATTTAAAATCTTCTAAAAGGGAAAGGTATCATAGAAAAGGATAAGCAATAAATTCACGAACTGGTGACGTCACGAAAGGTGTGTTACGTCGTCGGGATAAATTCCGGTAGTACTAAGAACGTGACAGCACAATAGCCCCCCTATTAATTTTGACGTATGTCGTGATGTCGTCGGAAGCAAGAACAAATTACGATAGTCTATTGTCACCGATCTACCTCCCGTTGATGGACGTCAGGTGGACACCGACTGTGGTTAGTTCTAAGAAGCGGTTAAAAGTTTTTGATATGACAACGGAATTGTATTAAAACACTATTCTTTAATGATCGCGTGAGATTTTGTTTGAGGGCGAATTGTTCATGACCACTACATTTGTGCCAGATAAACTTTGCAGTGTTGAAATGAAGTTTTGGTGAACCAGTTGTAAAAGACTGGATGTTGGAAGTTATAAAAATTAAAACTTATAGAATGAATCACGAAATATTTAGAAATTACTTAAAAAATTATGCAGACTCCTATAAGTAAGGTCCTGCTGCTTTGTTGTCACCTTCCACCATGAATACCAAATAGGACATCGAATGAATATGCGACAGGGTAAAAGTACAGATTGTGATTATATCTTAGATTGTGATACAGATCTCCAAAGATAAGTGATTCTATATGAAATGACCATCTTGTAAAGATTTGTAACACGCTAGAAAAATCTCAGATAGTTTGCCCGAAATCTATTTCTTGATACTTTTGAAAAAACGAAGTCATTTCGAAGTTCTTGATAAGTTGTTGTTCAAACACTAGCCTGTTTCTTATACATACTTTAAGATATTGTAATAGTAGCCCAGCATTAAAAACACGAAATATAATAAAAATATATCTATACAAAAAGAATAGAAATTGGGGTTTTCGGATGTTTTGGATAAAAAGAACAATAAACTTAATGTAATTAATGACCAAATTTATAATAATAATGAACCATTGTTTAGTTATCTTATTTAAGATGTACATAATATTTTGAATTTTGCGCTTTATTGTGAGTAATTTAAATAATTCCTTAGTTTTGAAACTTGTTACCCTGAATGTTTCTTTTCATATATTCTTTCTTTGTCATGGTTTTTTTTTCCTGTTTTTCTTTTCTTTTTGAGAACATATCTGGTTTCACCTTTAGTGTCTTTCAATCTCCTCCAAAGAACAAACCAATTTTAATATTTTACCACTTGATATTTATTTTTAAAAAAACTTGATTTGTTAATTGTACCCTTTTATAGGTAAGACTTTCATTTATTTTCTATTATAATTAATTTTATTTTCAATTTTTCCTTAGATTTGATGTGATTTATGACGTGATTTAAATTTTATTACAATCTGATTTTCAATTTAAGATGACTTGGTTTTTCCTTCAGAAAACTAATGTTTTTTAATTGTTCTATTTGGTTTGAAATCTTTCTTACGGTTCCTGACGGTGAGTTTCATTTATTCTCTTTTCTCTTTTTCTATTATATATATTTTTCCTTTTTTTGCTCTTTCTTGTATAAAAAATTTTTGAATTGTTCAAAGTTCGCATTTCATTTGTAATTTGGTTAATTGATTTTTAAATGTTACCGTAAATAATATTTTAATATGATTCTCATTATTTTAACAGCTTGACGCTGAAGATGAGTAGAAGATATTTTATCATTTATTCATTAACTTGCAACATGGATTCCAATATATATTCAAATTTGTTGTGTCCACATCTCTTGTTTATGTCTTCTTCCTCGTTGCCAATTTGTTTGCTAATCTTCATTATTTGACTTGTCTTTGCGTTTATTCCTGCACTTTTATAATTGATATTTTATTTGTTGACTATAGCTTGTAACTTCCGCCAGTAATACTATGTTATCTACATACACAAGACTTTTGAGGCTTCTGGATGAGTTGGTCCATAACCACAATAAACAGGGGGGGGGGGCTAAGAAAGTCTTAGTGCAGTATATGTGCCAACATTTATATATGGGGCGAAAACCTGGCTAATGTAGGATAAGCAGATAAACAGACCAGAAGTGATACTCAGAAATACTAAGACAAGAAAAGAGGTAGGGATAGATCCTTAAATCAAAACTTACAGGACAAACTGTTGTAGCAGTACGGGCACGTGATTTGTATGGATGATATGTATCTTTGGGAGATAAAGAGGATGATGAAGGAAAGAGGAGAAGGCAAGAGGGGAAGGGGGAGACCCAGAACAAAGTGACTGATAATACCAAGAGTGCGATTCTGCAGAAAAGGCAAAGAAAGAAGAAATTTATATCAAGTTGAATAAATAAATTCAATTTTCATAGTATTATGTGTTCAGAGAAACAACAAACATTGCTGATTTTACATTAAGTAATAAAATTGAAATTGAATGATGTTGCAGATCTAGTAGAGCGACTTAAAATATACAAAATGGTTGAAAATTCAATATCTGTTCGTGGTGGTATAACTCAAACACCATTAAATATAGTACTTTCTTGGTAGAATGGCTTTAGTTTATTTCAAAACTTCTCAAATAATTTTTGTTAACTTTCCAAATCCTTTAACAGTTTTGAAAGTATCTACATTTTAAATTGGACCATTAGCAGACAATTATAATCGTTAACTATCGTATCGAATTAGATTGCAACCGGAAATTATTTAATTGGGCCTGACGCCTACACCGCCGTCGCGTAAACGAAGGGTATAAATCGGATTTTATTGCTGTGTTCGCAGATTGTATGTACCTCATTTGCAATGCCGTAACTAAACACTTGCATGGAGGTACTTACTTGCATGAGGTTACGCGCTGACAAGCGTCATGTGTTCATCCAGCGTTTCATATCTACTAACAAGTGTGAGACCAATTTTATCAATATCTTAATCATATTGATTTGCAATCTTGTTAATTTAGTCTTTTTAGTTGCCTAATTTTAAATGGTAATTTATGTGGGATAGAATCTGTGTTTTTGTTTACATCGCTTAGAAATATATTGCAACAGATCGCTTATTAAATACTGTTAGTTTAATTTAATATAAATTTACTGAATTATAATTTTAAAAGTATGAAATACATCTTTGATATATACCATTTCCGTCAGATGTTCATTAATTATAAAATTAATCATGCTTGATATAAAGATAAATCTTAATGAATTATATGTATAGGATGGACAGTAATAATTCACTTTGATTTTGCTCTGGTCGAAATTTAACGGTACACGTCACTGAAGGAGATCTATGGCCACTCCATGTTATCAACGACCAATTACTCCGGTATCGGGTCCAATTAATCGATCGATCTGGCAAACGGTGTCGTCGATAGTAAATTCAATTATATTTGCACGGCGATAGCTGTAAAGTATCGGTTTACACGGTATAGGTGTGTCATCGTCAGATGCAGCAGATAGTAAACTATACAGGCGGGTGACGCCTCACGACCGCGGCTGCGGCCGATTTTCCTTCGTAACGAGACCGAAAGATTGTGCATGATGATAGTTCGCGATACGGTAGTCCTACATCACGAGGGCCACTGTCGGTTAATCTACCTGGATTACAGAGGTTTTCAATTATGTACCGTGTAGTTACTCCGGCATAGGATGAAATAGGAACGTGACCAATGATAACATTGTGTACACTTGTTGTGAATAGGGAGAACGCAGATGGCATCGTCACGAGATGACATCTTAAGACACTCTTGTGAATAAGTCATCTTTGAAAGTTAACACACTCTTTTGAATAAGGAAAATGATTTGAACTGGTTTAGTATGTATCTTTTGTCATCTAACAATTATTACTGAAGTATCAACTCCTACCATAAAACTTTTAAAGTTCTCAACTTTCGTTGATTCATCAACTGATTAGCCTGATTTGATAAGAAACAAGTCTAACAACATTAATTACGTATATATAACAACTTCTTGATGAGAAACCGCAAGTATTCTTAATTAATTCGAAACCACATCCAATTCGATCATTCATTGATTTCTTACGCGATTTTTTTTGCATAATGTTAAATGCCTGAGTAGGTAACCAACGGTTGCATTTAACGACAAGGCATAAACGCTCTCGGCTAATGATAAGACCTTCTGTATATGCGGGAACCAGAAGTTATCCGGCTACGTTCTCATTACGTATTAGATCATTAATAAAAATGTACACGGCGCTATATTTACCAACGTAATTATGGGCAGGTATGACAGCAATTTACATGCAAATGCGTCTTGCAGAGGCAAGGACACTGCGAGTTTAAGTAGGAGGATGTTTCAATGTGCAATTGAATTGGAAAAATATCCAGTTTGTTATGAAAACAGTTTTTCGTCAAAGTGGGACATTTCTAAAAATACACACATACTTTTGTGATGATTTTAAAAAGAGAAACGTTGCACAAGGATGGCCCGAATGAGAGGTTCTTTAAAAATAAGATAATGGTGTTCGTTTAAAATTAGTTTCGCGTCTAACGTGCTTATATGTGGACGCGATAAATTAGGACAATTAAAAAAATAAATAAAACACATAAATTTAAGTGTTTATAACGGTTTAGTTCATTAAGTTCAGGATTTTTTATAAAGTAACTAAATTTTGTGCGCTTACATTTTAAAAATTTATGACTCTTCCAATTAATTTTTAATAATCCATAACAAAATCATCAAGTTGCTCCCAAATAAATTGTAGCTATATTGATTACATTTGTATCACATTAAAAGACTTGATGAATAATCGATTTCTACATAAACAACTTTTGTCGTGATTCTTTCATTAATTTCCTTTGTAATCCAAGAAGATGTATCAATTTTCGTTTACACTTCCGCCATGTAAGGTACAAACAAGCATTTTAATCGGCTTAAAGGTTGTAACCTCGCCGCATTTTCCATTGTTGTTACAACTTTAGAAGGATTAACGTTTCCAAAGTCCGATGGCAAACGGACATCGATTAACCCATTACGGCAACAGTAGCGGACTTAATTATCGGCCATTAACCGGCTTTCGAAGTTGCAAGACTGAAACACGCGCGTCTGGCCCTCGAAGTGACCCTCCCATGCGGTGACGGAACCCGTAATTTATGCGCTCGACGATAATTTTCGCCGTGAAAGTCAGCAATAACCACTCTTTGCCTACGGTGCACTTCGAGTAAGGCCGTAAAACTCGATGGAATATGGTTTCTCGAGACGGCGATTTATCATTTGAGCGGGGAAACAATAAAGACACACCCGTGGGTTATAAGGAAGCCAAATAATTCACCTGGTTTAATTGTTCGGAGGTTCCTCTTCGGATTATCTTTAAGGGTCATTATTAAAGAAGAGATATAGTTTCTGTAAATGTAAAAGAATATTATATTAAACAAGGTAATATTTTGAAGTTGGGTCTCTCTTCACAATCCTTTTATCCAATATCCTGCTCATTGCTATAGTACTCTAGCTACTGCGATAAATCTAGACTAACCTGGAGTAATTGGAAATCGGAGGAATTGTAATATTTTCCACAAATCTTTCTAGTACATCTTACGGCTTCTGTTTTAATTAGTTGGGATCTCTGACCACCAATATCTAAAAATTTGTAACACCAATCAGAATCGATCATGCAACTCAATTGCAAGTTTTTCAATACCACAACATCAAATTCAAACAATGGCAAGTGTAATCTTTGTATTACACTTAGCATCAAGATGAACAAGAAAACATTAAAGTAATTGAATGTAACAACCCAACCTAACTCTAAATTTTTAACCCAAAAAACTTGCATATCTGTAGAATCAGTATTCAATACATTGGTGTTACTCAAGGTTAAATGCTTTTTTATTGTTTGCTGCCACTTTTTCAAAAGCTGCCTTATGCCTCGTTTCAAAATGATTAAAATTCAAAGAAAGCAGTAAGTGGCAGCAATTTAGTCTTCTGGTTAAAACGGCTTTATTCATGTCAACTCAACTTAACCTAGCTAATGATGAGCTTCTCAATCTTGTTTCACTCTTTGTATAAGTTAGTTATAACTAATTTATTCAGTATTCAGCAATTTCGTAATCTGAATCAATTATAAGTTGGCAATGCTGTGTAGTAGTGTCAGGTCGTATTTGGGTGAAAGAGACCACTTATAAAAGTGTCCATATTTGTGGAAGCAGATCTTTTCAAAAAGCAATACAAAGTTATTAGAACTAGTAATAGAGAAGGTTTCTGAGTTAAAAACTTATTACTACTTTGATGAAATTATAGTAGCGGAGATAACATCATAGATTAAACTATAAAACTCATTGGACTAAACCGCAAAATATCGGTTAAAGTTCTGGGGTACCTTCATACACAGTCTGGGAAAATAAATTTAGATCAATTCAACGTATTCATCAGCTAAATATTGTAACCCAATTAAATTGTTTTCAAAACAAAAACAGAAGCTGTTGCAATGACCAATGTGAAAGTGAATAATGCAGAAACAAATATTTCTAAGATCAATGGCTTTTGTGCTGACAGAGAATTTGAAGTTACTACATAACTGCAATAGACAATCTCATAAGGCTGGCTATCCACATACCAAAATCCAAAAGATTGTCTTCTTACATACAAATGAGGTTGCTGGTATTCTCCAGTTCAAACATAACAAAATTTTTCTTTCATTGCTATAAATCCCGATGATGCAATTTTTTTAATTCAACGCTTATTGAGGTTAAGTTGATAAAAATACAAGTTACAACATCGAATCCCAAGAACGAATTGAGATATCATCATGAAATAAAAGCCATTTTAAAGCAATTTTAATATGCCGATAATTAACTTTATAAATATCTAATTTGCGATATTAAGATGTAATAAAAATCATTTTATGATCAATTTAATCCAGTTTCAACGCACAATAAATAATTCCTTCGTTCCCACATATCTCGGTGATACGATTTTTTATTCTTCTCTTTGGTTATTGAGGTTGAGTTGATAATAACATCGTATATCAAGAACGAATTGAGATATTGTTATAAAATATAAACCATTTTAAAACAAATGGAGTTTAAAAATTATTTCTTTAGTTCTAAATCAACTTTCGGTATCAACTTTTACGCAAAAAATGTTATTAATTATTATTATTATAGTATCATGTATCATTTTAAGTAGGATCATAGTAATTAAATATAGCCACTACTTATAGATGTACTTGTGGTTGAGTGGAACAGATGACAACCTCCTTCAGGAGCTGTTAGTTGTTGTTTTTTATTCTTTCCAAACAATTTATTATAACATTTATTTTAAGTAAGAATTATCCCTTTGTACCAAAGTTTAGTTTCTGCTGGTGTTATGTGAATAAAATTTGTATTTATTGAATTATGACATTTATAACTTGAATAGATACTTTAACTAATTTACCGTCAGTAATACAACCTTCAAGAGACACGATTTATCAAGTCAGTACAAATCGGCATGAATTCGAAATAAACAGAGATTGCCATCCCGTAATTCATACATAACGCCTATGTATGTTGTTTATTGTGGTCGTGAACACCGGCCCCGAGACGCGGGCGTCATTAAACTCCCACGGCGTCGCCACACTTGTGAAACCACTTCAGAAGCGTCAATGTGAATCACTTCGATCTTATTATAGAAAATCTTTCCAATGGACGCTTTTCTTTTGAACCGGCGCGGTTCTTTGTTTCACCTTAGAATAACTTGAAACAAATCACCTCACACTCGTTTTTAAATAGCACGACGAGGCATACACGAGGACTACAATACAAATGCGTTTTGTAAAAACAACAACAACTGGAGATCGTTCCTTTTATTGTTTACAACCGTGGAAACAAAGGGAACACAGAAACTTACACGGGTATAAAAGTTCTCGGGAGTTGTTTTGAAACGACTTCGACGCGCAGTAGCCAATTATGCATGATTAACTCGATTTTTAACTAATTATCTCTCATCCTATCGGTTAACTAAATGCATGGGTTTTAATCGTTATGGTCCATGTGAAGCGTTGATGTGTTTTCATGCACTCGTTGTAATTTTGCATTAAATTGCAACGAGTATATTTACGATCTTTTGTGAGATTGTTGGTAAATTAAACTGAAATTTATATTACTTTATTAAAAAAGTAAATTAATTGGATGGGAATTTAGTTTAAAATAGCATTTGAAAAATATAACTTGCAATAATATACTCCTTCTTTTTAATTATTTAAAAAAATTCTTTAAAGAAAAAATTTTGATATGTTAATGGTCGGTAACGATTTTGACAGCATAACGCCTTTTATTGTTCATTATAAATGCAACGAACCCCGATAATTTATCGCCACATGTGGGCCGAGCAGGCATGTGTTCGGGTGATTCACAGAGAACTGAGTCGTCTCAGTTCTTTTAGTCAAGCTTAGTTTATGCTGAACTGTGCGAAATAAACCTTTTGATGATCAGTCTAATTAAGAAACTTTGGACTTTTAAACTTACAGGACATTATCATTTAAACATTATTATGTTAATTTATATTTAAATATAAATATTAGCGCTCTTAGAAGTCGTTCTAGTTCTAGGTCTAGAACAATGAATAGGTTCATTGAACTAAAACTAGAACTAACTCTAGACCTAGAACTAGAACCATTCGGGTTTAGCCGAACGTCTCTTAAGACGGCTAAACCCGAATGTTTCTAGTTCTAATGTTAGTGTTAGTTATTATTCAGCGTTATATTGTTGTATATTGTTCATTGAATTAAAACTAGAACTAACACAATTAGAACTAAAAACATTTGAGTTAGAGATGCACGGCTAAACCCGAATGTTTCTAATTCTAGGTCTAGTGTTAGTTCTAATGCTGGTGTTAGCTCTAGTGCTAGTGCTAGTTATATCGAGGTTTTACTATAATTATAACGTTAAGAAATCTAGCTTTTCAAATTTACTTTTATATATTTATCTTTGTTAAGTAAATTTTGAAATATCTAAATAAAAAAAAATCATTCATTATTTTTTTTTGTGTTAGATTGAAAAAGAAATCGTACATTTTGTGTTGGCTAAGAAACCAACGCCCGCGCCAGGACGAATCTTTGCCAACTATTTTGTAACTTAAATGTATCACGGTCCGTCCGTAAATATATGGTCCCACTTCAAATTGGTCCACCGTTGCGTAAATATTGTCAATTTCGGTCGTTACTATATGGCTCAGCAACTTCCCAGATTACCAGCTTTCAACATAAAGCTATAAATACAAAAATAGTCCGATTTGTCGACACTTAAAAAAAAATGATGATTCGTTGCAGAGAATTTCTTTATTTTCTTAGTTACATTCATGCTTTAAACAAAGCTTTTAATCTAAATTAACCAAAGAAAAGAAACAATAAAGATTTCTGTATAACTAATTGGTGATCACACCTACAACTGTCACAGAGTTCTTAAAATACGGACAACTATATCTAATAATAGAACACAAGAGCGATAGTTCTATATTTATACGACAGTAAAACAGTATAGAAGTTTTGGTACAATGCCAACTACACAACGAGAAGAGGTTATGCGACAATAATATACGTCCAGATCCATCCTAAAAATTCCTATAGTCTTGTTGTTTAAAAAAAAAAGCTCATTATTTCTAAGTAAGTTTAAAACAATAACCTAAATAAGTTTGTTATAAAAAAAATTAAAAAAGAAGTATTGTAAGTCGTTTAGAATTGAAAATACTTTACATGTTGATTCGGTTAAAGATAAAAGTGAGGACGGACTGTACTGTTTCACACGAGAGGGCCTCGAGAGTTTTCCCTTCGATGTCACTGAAGATAAGAGAAGACAAATGAATCGATCCTCGAAGCTGTAGAAGTAACGATGCAAAAGAATTATTGGTGGTGTGTTCGTAAAAAGACCAAATTAACCGACAAAACCAACACGTTTCTCGTTTTTAACGAATCCCGCTTCTGGAAACGATCCGAATACTTTGTGTACCTACCTTTATTTTCGTTCGGGTTGAGCTATTTTCTAAAACAAATAAGATACGGTTAGTGTATTTTCGGTATTACACAAATCAAAAATACACGATTCTCAAAGCGGTAAATTTATCGGACGCATCTTAAATAAATACTGAGATTGCTCGCGGAGGCTGATGTATTTGTTTGAAAAAGATTAAAATGAAGTAGTACTCGTCGTTGATACGACATAGGTTTTTGATATGAAAACGATATGAAATTGTGGTTATTTTAATCGCATAAATGTGTATTGGAGTATTTCTCAATTTTTGTTATATTTTGATAATAATCTGGTTGCTACCGTTTCTTGTAAGGTTTAAAATGAACAAAATTTATATTAAATTATCATCGTCTATATAAAAAGTAAATAGTTATTTAGTTACTCATTTCTGCGTCCGTTAAAAAAGTATTTGGAGACGTGACACCAGCAACTTCTCATTTAGAGAAGCAGCTGTTTTGGAAATGGCGTTGGAATTTCTGGATCTTGTTTATTTAAGCACCAACTCAAAAATAAGACTCATCAAGGAAATTAGTTACCTTCTAAAACTTATGCGAATAAGAATCGTATGGGCAAATAGTCAAAATCAGAAGAATAGCTACAAAAACTTATGCTTGTGCCGTGATCTTGACATCCCGACGAATCATGCTCCTCGATCTCGCAATTGCAAAAGCTATCGAACTGCGATGAAGAAGGCGAAACGAGTTCTGGGCAAAAAATAAACGTTAACTTTTATTCTAGCAGAAGAATAGTAGACCTAACTGAAAACATGAAGTTGAGTAGCTATTATTGATTCATACGACCCCTACAATACACTTCAAGTGTAAATGAAAGCAAGCACAGTACAGTTCAAGTAGCAACAACAGAGGACAACGTATAGTAGATGTAGAGAATAAGTCTAAGATTGTCAAAATATCTGGGTGTCGGCAATGCTGAACCATATATAAGTCCCATGTCCATGGCAAAGGGTGGGGATTTATTTAGACCAAACAACTATCCTGAAAAGAGCGATGTTAATTTTTTTATATCACTAGGAGTATCCATGGTCAAACGACATTCTAATAGTAGTTGACTTACTGGCTGCTTAGAGAAAGGAAATGCATAGTGCAAAAGAAATATTAAGACAGACAGCTGTGAGATAAAAAATCGCTGTGCAGATGTATGAAAATACTAATACCGAACATCGAGAATTGATGAAATAAGATGAAACTAACCTCTACGTTACTCAGTCTTTAATGAAGTCGGATATTTTGGTAAAGAGGAAGATACCCCTTTTAACGATGAAGAACACACTTTCTTTAATTATGCATATAAGGTAGCAGGCTGCAATGGATGAGCTGATTAGAAAAGTCCGCCCACTCACACTCGGTACAATTGCCATAAAAATTACCACACCTGGCAGTGTTATTAATTAAATTATCAAAGAAGACACCTGGCGATTAAGAAAAAATCGAGGAAACCCCTGTCGAGTGTAAGTGGTCATTCACATCGGCCACACCATATCGGAGATGCTGTTTAATTTACCTCATGGACGGTTCGTGGAACAAGATGAAGGAGTATTTATTTCACATCCAAATACTTTGCCGAGCACTTGATCAGTGATTTTAATGATGTTAATTTTTTTTCTTGCGGAAACCGTACAAGTTAACATACCTATTAACTTACATGTAAGTATTCAACACGGTAATCTGCACTTCGACTGTAGACCATACCTAGCAGTGCATCAGGATGGGAACCATGCAGAGCGCAAAAGCTCCTTATAATACATGTACTTTAATAACTGCGATATTCCATAAACTAATTAATGATATTTAGTGAAAACCTCTGAAAGGGAACTCTACACAGTGCAAGAATGCCGCGAATGTATTCACGCAAAAAAATAATTGCACCGTTTGATTCTAAAATAATGTCGACATCGTGGTAATTTGAAAAGAAGACGCCTAAAAGGTAGACACTTCTAAATCAGAAGAAAACTGCAATGCTCACCGACTTATCTCCTAAAGTAATGCCAAATGGATCACAAATTCATTCCCATTGAAGGTCTAAAATTTTTTCCCCCAATTTTTTCCTTTCTCTTTTGAAGTCCGTTATACAAATCGTGCTTTGTTGTTATTTTTTCAGATAGGTTCGTTCACTAAGAAATAAATGGTAGTCCAGGAACGATTATGGTGTTATAAATAATCAGCTCTAATCTCGGGATTGCTAATTGAGACCGCTGTTATAAATGTTAGCGTTCCACTTAACCCACATTGTTACTCTACTAGGGTAGTATCTTTTCATCTACACATGTTGCAGACAGATAATCCATCAGCAGGCTTCATGTCACAGTTAGATTTAGTGGTTGACAAAAGTGCGAAATAAAAGGGAAAATAATAATTCTCCACAATGATAATGATATTTTTAAAAAAAAAGTAAAAACCTCTAAAAAGAAAAATGTTGTAATATCCAAAAGTGAATTTAATAATATCCATTTCAAGTAGTAATTTATCGAATAAATAGCAATTCAGATAAAGATTAGAAAGCGTTCGTTTAAGTTAAAGTACCTACTTCGAATCAAACAAACTATTTTCTTATCTAAATCGTTGATCGCTTTAATGTCAGTACTTTTCGAACCAATTGGGCAAATTGCACCTGTCCCAGTTGTCGATCCAAATCTAGAATCTACGCTTTTGAAATTCAGGTCCAATTTAAAGTTTTGTTTTCTTATACTTTCGAAAAAATATGAAATTCCAACTCCATACAATTATTTATTTCTTGATAAAGTTCGAGTTTTACTTATTTAAGGTATGTAGCCAATAAATATCATTATTAGAAATTATCATAAAGTACTGAACAACTTTATTTTCATGGCAAGAATAG